GATGATTTCAGAATAAATATAAAAGCAGAACTGGAGTTTCTCTAAAGTCATCAGGGAGGCTTTCCAGCAAAGATCAGAGGCGGATCATCGAGTGATTAGAGACGTTCTAATATTTGATTTGTTCTGATGTTTAGCCCTTTATAGGGAAAGTTTGTGTTTTTGATCCATTGCATACCCCTAATTCTTTTCTTTTTCGACAATAATGTCTTAATATTACGAGAATAAAGTCATATAATTATGAGAACAAAGTCGTAAAGTTACGAGAATAAAGCTGTAACATTACTAGAGTAATGTCAGGGTCCCTGTGTGTCAGTGAGGCGAGTGATGCATCTCTCTCATAGAGGATCTTTGGGGAGAACCTGGGCAACCTATAAAGGTGAAGATAATCTTTCTCATCAGAGTGCCGAGCTTTAAAGATCAGCAGAGCGTCACTCAGTGATGGTTTATCGTGTTGTTGATGTTGTTTCATAGCTTCCTAGTCTCTTGCTTCCTTCCAGTATTTTCACTGATCTTTATTGGTGTTTGTTTGCTTTTTTTGTATTTTTGCCTCTTGTCCCCTTGGACTTTCATTGAATCATCGATAACTCATCTGTGCATTTGGGTCCTCAAAACCTCCCAACCTGACAAATAAAGTAATAAAATTACGAGAATAAAGTTAACATTTATATTTAGGTTTATAAATTAAAAGGTGCCAGTATCAGCATTAATGCCTCTAAGGCAGGGGTCTGCAACCTTTCATATCCAAAGAATCATTTTGCTTTGAGTATGACCAAGTCAAAGTTTTTTAGAGCCGCAAAATATAACATGACTTAAAAAAAATATATATATATATATTTTTTTATTAGCTGGTAAAGGAAATTTATGTATTTTTAGCTTGTAAAATAATATTAAAACACATAATTTCCACCCTAATTCAAAGAAAGATGCTCTAAAAACATATTTCTGGTTATTTTAATATCATTCTTTTCCATCTTATTAAAAAAAATAAAGCTTTTAATTCTGGTATTTATTAGAGTACATTATTTAGCTCTTTATATACATCTTAAGAGCCGCCGGAGAGGATCCAAGGAGCCACATGTGGCTCTGGAGCCTCAGGTTGCAAACCTCTGCTGTAAGGTGATGTTATACCCAAAACAAAATTGTTTTTTGTTGGATTCCAGTAACACTAATGGCTTAAAATTTTGATTTTAAGTATTTCACTGAGTGCCCTGTACATAGTTAATCA